GGCCCCGACTCGGAAGAGAGGTCCTGCGATTCAGAAGCAGGCGAAGGCTCCATCTGAGGAATCTTGCACGACTGCTCCTCCTCCCACTCCTCCGCCTCCTGCTCCAGCCGCCAGTTGTCCTCCTGGACGTAGTGCCGCAGCTCCGGGGGCAAGGCTTCGACCTCCTTCTGGAACTGCCCCGCCTCCGAGCCCTCGGCCCCGTCTGGAAGGCAGGCAGGACCGGCGTGTAAGGGAACGCGCGTGGCAGCAGGACGCCACCGTCCGAGACCAACCGAACGGGCGGGACCGCGGCCAGCCGCAATCGAACGGGCCGAGGGATAAACGGGAAGAACACCGGCTCCTACGGGCTTCGTAATTTAGGAGGACTCGTAAGGGCAAAAGGAAAGAGGAATCGACGGAGTTAGCTGGAACAAACCCCGGCTTCGCTCTGCCACCGGGCGAGCACTTGCCACAGCGGAACCGCAGAAGCGGCGCCCGCTGACGCAGCGGGGCAGAGCGGCAGCCTCCTCCAGGGGCTCCGATCGCACCCAGAACGGCGTCTAGGCTGCCGACGGCCGGGGCGTTTGGCTGGAGGCTTCATACCGACAACGGCACTCGGCACACAGCGGCAGGGATCGCGCGGCCCGAGCGCCCTGCCGGTACTCCTCAGCGCTTCTTGGGTCTCCTTCAGCACCCGCGTTCACAAGAGCACCAACCCCCCCAGCAGCCGCAGCTTTAGACAAGTCCCAGCATTTCCCAAAGCGCACGGCGCTTCTCTTGGCCGGATACTTCTTACGCGCCCACTGGGAAGGCAGAGCATCTTTCAAAAGCCACCAAAACCGCATTAAATGGGAGAAAACACACCACCGCGGGCTCGTTTCAGAAACGGAGCTGTCACAGGAAGACAGACAAAGAACAGCCTCCAGACCCTCATCAGCCATATTTAGCAGTGAACAGAATGACAGTTCCCCATTGTTTCTTCCTACTTATTACATCAAAATGAACCACGCGTGAAATTATTAGGTTCTTCGACAGCTGTTTGCCATGGATGGCGCCACGTGCCCAGTAATTTCTCCACACGACTATTTACGCGTTGGCACGGCAAACGCGCTCGCAAGCCTAAGCCCCCCGTCACCAACAACTCGCGCGCCGGTCGAGGGCTGCGCCGAAAAGGGGCCCCGCGGAGGTCCGATGCACCGCAACCACTAAAACCCACGCCAACGAGGCAGAAAGCGCGACAAAAAACCGGGGGAGGTAAAGCGAGAGGCGTTTCACGTGCCCTCGTAAAAGGAACTCCGTCACGTAAGCTACGGGCGGGGTCAAAGCCAAGACCACCAGCACCGGGCGCACAGGGAAAGCGGCAAAACGGGGAGCCCGAACGGTTATGCGCGTTACTAAGACAGCCAGCGCTGCCCCTCCCCTGCCAGCACCCGCCGTCCTCTGTTTGCAACCCCGGGGGGGGACTTTGAAGCGCGCCGAGCAGGGAGCAAACGACTTCCGCTTCTACCTGGGGCGAAGCCTTTCGGCAACGGTGCCGACGAGAGGCGGAGGGACGCGAGGATCGCGCAGGCTGGCGAGGCACGGGGACGCGCAAACGCCAAAGGAACCCGCGCGTCCGGCTCCAGTACCTGCAACGGAGCGGGACACCGTGTCGCTGATGTACATCAGGCAGTAGGCGCTGGCGTTCTTCAGGCCTCCGAACGAATCCCTCTCCAGTTCCTCCCACGACGACTCTGTCACCGAGATGTCATTGTATTTGAGCCAGCTTCTTCGAGGCTGGTCGTAGATGAAGGCCCAGTAGTGCCCAGCATTTGCTTGCCCTTCGTGGACCAAGACCGCGTGCAAACGGTAGGGAACCTGCAAGTTCACACGGACGCGGCGTTCAGACGTGCTCCCAGGGAAGGGTTTTCTCTGGCCTCCGCGCAAAACCTGCAACACACGCTCAGAGCTGCGGCCCGGCGCGAGGCTCCCGGGTCACACAGCGACCTCCTTACTACGGGAGGGCGGCCGCTAAGGGAAACGGCAGCAAGAGCTGCGGAAACGACTCCTTTCTCTGCTTCGGCCTAGCACGGGGATTTCCCCGAGGACAACAAAGCGGCCACTCAAACCGACGGCCGCGACAAAACCCGGCCGCCAGCAACATCGCTCTCACACGTACCCCCAAGGCAGCCGCGCTTCCTACCTGCTGGAGGAGAGGGTCACAGTACATCTGCTCAACGGACAGGCTGACTCTGGCAATAGACTCCTTCAGATCTGCCAAGAACATCGGGAACGAGAGAAATACATCGAAATCAGCGACTACTCGTGAGGCTGCTCCGGCCCCTCTCACTTCAAAAAAGGCTGAATTCAGGCCTGCAGGGGCTGTCAAACACACTGGAGAGCAGAGCTGAACCACGCACGACACTATCTGCAGTTCGGGACGCACCCAGCTGGAGCAACAGAGGGGAAACCAGGCTGGCACTCAACAGAAAGATCCCAACAAACGTTTTTGGGGCCAACCTCGCACGTCCTGCTCAATCTCGTTTCTCCAGCGCTGCAGACACGTCCGAACCAGGTTCAGCTCTTCCTCGGAAACCACGTGAGGAGCCGGACGTTCTGACGCTTCTGCTGGAGAGCCAGAAGGCTGGGGCGACGCGCGCGATCTTTGCCGCGGCTCAGACTCCGCCAAAAAGAAAGCTCCGTCCTCGGTCCTAGGATCCTCTCTTTCTGGGATGCTGCGAAGCAAAATCCAAGAGCAGGGGACAGGTTTCTCAATCTTCCGTTTCTCTTTCCTCTTTGCGGAAAAGAACGTGAAAGGAACCACAGCCAAAACCCCTCCGGAGCCAGAGCGGGATCTCCCCCGCGGGGCGGCGCAAAACGCGGAGAGAACAAGAACGCCGAGGCGCGCTCCCGCCTTCGCAGGCCAGGCGGATACACGGGGTGAATCAAGGCGAAAGCTCTGACCCAGCTCTGCGAGCCCAGATCCACGACCAGCAATTCTAACCCTTCCTTCCCTTACGGCTGAGGCGCTCGGGTATTTTACTCGGCTCAATTTACAGCGTAAACCGACCGCGCTGGCTGGCTGCGTAACAATCCGATGCTGCAGTAATTTACTGCTTGATGAGTGTGGCAAACCCACCAACAGCCGAAGCAACAAGAGCACCCAGTTGAACCCGGCCTGGCTGTTCAGACAGGGACTGGGGCGACGCTTTCAGAAAAGGGAAAAGAACGGGCTGGATGCGGCGCCTTGTTCACGCGAGCAGCACCAAACCACGGGCGAAGCAGGGACTGCCCGCACGGGCACCCGTCCGTCGCAGCACCGCGCCCTCGAGCGCGACCCAGCAGCCCTTGGCTGAAAGGCAGGGCGCTCCCCTGCGGATCGCTTTCGGTCCTGCTTACTAACCCGCTCGGCTGCGAAAACGCGTCCGGGACAGGAGGCTCGGCCGGGGACCGCAGCGACGAACTGGGCTTCGTAGCGACGAACTCGAGAACGTACTGGAGCATGTTGGGCAGCGGGAAGCGGGCCGGGCCGGAGCCGTACTTCATGTACCTAGGGCAAAACGCGAGACGTTGCACGAGCGAAGGAAGGCGGCCGCTTGCTTAAACCTGAGGGGCCAGGAGGGAAGCAGAGTCCTGGTCGGGGCGGAGGCAGTTTAAGCGGCCAAGGAAGGAGGGGAGAAACCCCGGTGACGGGAGGGGGCGCGACCCGCCACCTCCCACCAGCGCAAGCAACGGCACCAGCAGCGTTCAGAAACCGTCAGAGCCCCGGGTTTGTTTTCAAGAACAGGCGGCCTCCTCACTCCACGCGCCTCGGAACAAACCCGGGGCCGTTCCTCCTTCCCCTCCAAGCTTCTCTTCTCTTGGAAAGCTCACTTCAGAGGAAGCCTCCGCGCGCTGCCCCAGGGCGCAAAAATACAGCTCGCCGGCTACTCACCTCTCCAGTTTCTGCTGCAGAAGCGCCATTTTCCCCTTCAACCTCTTCAGTTCTTCTCTCTTCATCCGGATAAGCTCTTTACTGCAGTAGAGGTACCTGAGCGGAGAGACAGAGCCCCGCCACGCGAGGTTTGCTCCCTTCCAGCAGCCCCAACCTGCCACAACCATTTTCGAGTCCCTCCTTGCTCACCCACGCGACGGCGGAGCAGTAGCTCGCAGCGGCCCGTCCAGCAGCGCAACTCACCTGTCCATAAAAATGGTCTGGGGAAATTCCAGCCTGGTGTGAATTTTCTCCGGCTGTCCCAGCGACTGGTTGAACTCAAACCGGGAGAGTTCGAAGGTCAGCACCGGGGGGAGCTTTGTAAACCAGCGCTGCAGCAAAAGCAGAAACGCCCCCAAAGGGACTTGCTTTAAAACGGCTGCCAAACGGCACGTTTTAGGCCGGTCCTAAACGATTTTAGACCCATCCGTCCGCCTTCAGACACCCAGTTAGCGTCTATTTTGTTTGCAGAGCGACTAGTCCGAAAGCCGAACTTTAGGAGGTTAAAATTCCCGCTTCCATTTTATGCTCTTGCTGTGAAAACCCCTCCGAATAGCCTTCGGAAAGCTACTTTTCGTTGCCTGACGCATCCAGCCGGACGGATTATTACTATTAACGGGCCCCGCAGCGAACTTTTTTACAAGATTAGCAGACGCTACGCACGCTCTGCACGTCAGCTAAGAGCCTCCAGGAGAGCCCTCGTCCAACGTGGACCACGTGCAAAGATGAAGAACCAAACACAAGTCCCGAGGCAGTCGCTGGTTCCTCCTCCTCCCTCTACGTACAAACTAGTCAAGATTTAGCCGATTCGGAGCCGACACCCCCTTTCTGTACGTGCCGCACACCGTTTCAGAGGGCCGTGTTGAAGGAGTGAGTCTCGGCTGAACGGACACCTCCTCTCTCTCTCCCCCCGGGCCTTTTTTTTTCCAGAGGTCTCCTTCGCGGACCCCAGACAACGCTCCTCCCCGCCGGCCGCAGGACGAGCACGCTGAGCTCACCGCCCGCTGCGGCATTCAGGTCAGGTGTCCGCCCCGCCCCAAAGTGCCACAGAGAGCTTTTAGGTCTAAAACACTTCAGCTGAAGGCGAATTTTTGTTACTGTTTTTAAAGGGAAGGGAACGGCCAGGCAGCCGAGCTCTTTGAGAAGGCGGCCGAACACAGAGGAGGAGCGATTTACACACCTACGATCTAGGAGGAACGTCCGTGAATCCCACGGACGCTCTGAGCTCCGGTACACTCACCTACGTTCTCAAAAGACAAAACGCACCTTATCCTCTACGTCCCCTATCATGCAGTCCTCTAGCCACGACACCCTAGGGAGTGAAATTAAGACGCACACGTTTTCCAGTCCGATTCCTCGGAAATAAAGCCAGAGCCTTTTCCTTCTATCCGAGCACACAAAGAACGATGCAAACGTCTCCACGAGCGGTCCCGTTTCCCTCAGTTTTTGGAAAAGGCTTTGGAGGACCTGAAAAGAGCCCGCCCGAACAGCTCCCCGCGCCCCGTTGGCTCTGGCACCAGCCTGCACCAGCCTCACCCGCGCCCGCTGCAAATGCGCCGGGGCCGCCTCAGGCTGGACAACCAGGAACAAGCCTCTGAGCCCAGAGGTGGGCAGGGCTGGCCCACCCAAGGCTCCCTTTCTCCTTTGCCAGTTCAGAGCACAGCAGCATGTTTTTCGGACTGTCTGGCAGAAGCGGAACACCCTTCCCTGCCCCCTCTACGCCAGACACCTTCGCAAACTTCCTCATCTGGCTTCCCAGTCTTTCTCTAAGCTAACCTCCCAGCTGCGCTTGCGCTGTGGGCTGCCGACTGTAAGGGTACACCTTCGCTTCCTACTTTGCTGCAGCTAAGTATTTTAGGGTTGGCTTGTGATTTGTGAGATTTGAAAAAGCAGAATTAAAAAAAAAAAAAAGAAAAAAAGAAAAAAATCATCACAGTTGGAAGAGCAGAGTGAGAACGAGAAGGAAAAAAAACCACACGCTGTAGTAGGGAGAAAGATACAAATTCCAAAGGGCGTACCGCAGAGTTAAGCACTGTACTTCTACCCTCCGAAAATAGGGGGGCAGGGGTTCTCCCCCTACTCGGGCACAGGTCGGCTTGAACAGAAAGAGAGAGACTTTACCGCGCTTGCATCAGAAGCAGCCGTTTGCCTTTTTAGCTCAGAACAAACTCCTCGAGCCGGCCGTAGAGCACCACGCGTCTTTACAACTAAGGCAAGACGGAGCGTCTCACCGCGTAGCAGCAGCGGGTACTTCCAGGAGCCGCCAGGCATTGGGCAACCACTTCGTGTTCCACCCCGGGAGCACTCGCAAAGGTGTGGGAACACACCGAGACAGCCCTGGGCGGCGCGCCGTGCGTGTTTCTGCGACAGGCAAGCACCAGCTCAACAAAAACCCGTCAGACTAACCTCCTGTCCATACTTGGCTGACTGAGATGCTGTCGCCTCATCCATCTCGCCCTCCACCATGGCTCCTTCCAAGCACTCGTTCAGGTTTCGATAACCGTTTACCTGAAGGGGATACTGACCAAAGGTTTCGATCTTGGAAAAAGTATTGCCTGGATGATGGAAACGATACAAAACCCGTGAACTAGCTTCAGACAACACGAAGCTCTGCTTAGCTCAAGAGTTTGCTGTCAGCACCAGCCAGAGGCGCTGCCTGCCGGCACCCAACCGCACGCGGCCGCGCACGCGGCCGCCAGAGAAAGCCTCCGCGGAAACGCGTGCTTGCAGCACCGCGGGCCTTTGTTGCTTCCCAAAGGCCGGCTTTACGAATGCCACAGGCCATTTGATCACAAAGACTACCTGCAAGTTTAAAGAGCGAGGCAACGCCATCAGGAACGCGCCACAAAATCCGGCGTCATCGCTGCCAGAACTCGGAACACCCGAAGGAGTTAAAAAGCGAACCTGCCGAAGCCTTAACTCACCCTCGTGGACGCCCTCCGTCAAGAAAGTCCCATAGAAGAGCTGGACCATTGGGTTTTCAGATTTGTCCCCAGGGCTCCTGTTTGGGAAAGAAAAAGCACGGGCTCAGGCGCAGCCGCAGGCTGCAAGGGAAGTCCCAAAGCCACAGACCAAGCCTTGGCCTGGGGCTGCTCCTGCGGTCAAAAGTAACGTCTTCTGTCCAAGCACAAAAGGCAGAGGAAGCTCCTCGTCCGCTGTCGCACTCCAGAGCGCACGGTAACGCTTACACTGGGCAAGGGGAGCACACCCAGTGAAGGCACTACCCTTCGAGACGCAGTCCCAAACCCCAGATCGTTCACGCGCGCCAGTTCTCCCCCAAGAAGCTCCTGTACTCCGCGGGCCGTACCGGCGCTGAACCGAGTCCTGCGCATACGTGCAGGAAACGCGGACGTGACGCTTGAGAGGGGCGTTTCCAGCCCAAGGAGCATCGCCCTCAGCGAACACAGAACTCTCTCGGAATTTTCACGTAAAGCCCCCCTCGTTTATTAAGGCGCCGCGTGCGACATCTGTTCCTCCTCAGGGCCAGCCCCGACTCCCGAGGTGACAAAACACTCACTTGACGTTCACAGCAAGCTGGAACGCGTCCTCCAGCCAGTCCAGCAGTTTGTGCGTAAATTCACTCACGTCTTGCTAGAAGAGAGCCAAAAGCCGAGAGTCAAACGCAGCGCCGACCCGAAGGCGTTCCCACTGCGCGCCGGCTTCGCGGACCTACGGGTGCACCACCCGCCCGGCGCTGGCGGACGGGCCC